AGAATCAATAGGATATGTTATAAATATATGAGAGGGGATTTATCAGGGGAATTAGCTCACACGATTGTGAAGAAAAGTCCCATGACAGGCCATCTGCAAACTGGATGCCGGTAGCATGGCTTAGTCCAAGTCCAAAGGCCTCAAAACGAGGGAAAATTATGTTGTCCTTGGTGTGAGTCCTGCAACCCAAAAGCTTAAGTGTCTCAAGCTCTGATGTCCACGGACGGGAGAGAAGAGTGTATCCCAGCTCCAGGAGAAAGAGAGAGCTTCACCTCTTTCCTCTGTCTTTTGTTCTTTCCAGACCCCGGCGGATTGGATGGTTCCTGCCCACATTGAGGATGGGTCTTTCCCACCCAGTCCACTCAGGCTCTTATACTAATTTCTGCTGGAAACACCCTCATGGACACAGCTAAAAAGATAGCTTTTCCAGAGTTCTTGGCATTCCTTCCTCTAATCAAGTTGACACACAGAATTAACCTTCAGTTTCTAAATGTCTTCTCTCTTTAAAAATCTTAAACACAGTATTTTAAAAGTCTTAAATACCTTAATGTGTGAGAAAGATCCACCACTACATTTGTTTGTCATGCAGATCAACAATATCACTTGCTATTGATGGCATTTCCACTTTAGTATCCAAATATGTTTAAATTTATTATTCAACTCATTGAATTAGGCAGTTTAACCTAGTATAGTGATAAATAGAATAAAATGCCTCTCCCCAACTTTCAATTCTAGGCCCTCATCTTTTCCTATAGTGATTGCATTGGTGTCTCTAGGAAGGAGACCTACAGTAAATTTGATGTGCCCTCATTTATTATACTGACCCTATGATAATTACAACTTCCTCTTCCCTTATTCTTTTTTAAAATTGTGCACATCATCATTATGGATCCCCCTTTCTATTTTTAGTCCTGTAACTACTTCAACTACTAAAGTTGTTTATAATCTTTATTGTTTAAGACGTGCTTGTTCATTCTCTCATTCATACATATTTCCCGAATTTCCCTACCTGATTGAGTGCTTAGTAAGCCAGGGCTGGGTTAATGTGCAGGGGTAACAGAATTTGATGCCCAGGAAAACCTGAAACACAGACCTGACAGCAAAGCTAGAACAAACCAGGAGAAGGGTTGAACTTGTGTGAATGATTGTTGAATTTGTTGCTAACTGAAGTGCCAAGCAGAGAGGAGGATGCAGGGAACGAGGCACAAGCAGGAAACCAGAGACATGGAATAGAACAAGCAGGTTCCTAAAAGAAAGCAGGAAGGAAAAATTCCTCATGGGGCTTGAGGGTAGCCACAGGGGCTTTCAACAGGGCACCTGAGGCCCTGCCTATGGATGGAATTGAATTGGTTTAGGACACCAAGACTATTCAGATGCATTTGTTCAAACAACAGTTGTTTGCACATCCACTGAGCCAAGTATGGGTAATACAAAGAAAATGAAGTCATTCTATTTGGTACTTTAGAGAGGTATTATTTGATATTATATATAATTTGGGGGGGGGTAAATAAAACTTTAAGCCTCTTAGGACATTTTGCCTTCATGTTGAAGCTGAGGCTTATAAAATATCTTGTTAAAAATGTAAATATACTTCTGGAAAACATGGTGAATCCCTGAAACAAGCGTGGTTTCTTTTTCTTTATACAAATCTTGACAGTGCTTTTTGAATTAACGATTTCCCTTGACTAGTAAGAATAGATAAACTTCATCTAAAGTAAGAAAAAGAGAATGTGTTTGAAAAAAAGTAACCTAAACTATATGTATAATATGCTGGGTTGGGCAGTTATATATCAATTATGTCCAAGAAAGGTATCTTACAATTTTGAAATCAGTTTCCTAAAGTTATTGGTTCGCACTCAATATCCTCAGGAAATTAGTGGAAACCAAAACCAGAAATATAATCCTACCTGGTACAAAACCAAGTTACACCTCTACTTAGAATGTTTCATTTTAATGCCACAGTGATTATGAAAAAGGATCAAAAAAAGGGAACCCATCCCTGTAAATAAAACGTCTCCATCTCTCTCTCTCTCTCTCTCTCTCTCTCGCACCAAACAACAAAAACAAGCAAACAAACAAACAAAAAAGGGAACCCAAACTGGAAGAGGGATAAAGACAGTTATTTTTTAAAATGAATCTTCTTTATTTTAGAAAAAGAAAACTTTTAAAAGATAGGCTCTTGGAATCTGAAAAAATCCTGTAAGAAAGCAAAAAGAAAATGCTGGCAGATATGATGTCTGGGAAAAAATTTAAAAAGCAAGATAGTGTCTTAGAAGGATACAGCTAAGATGAGCACTGATACTTAATAAATTCTGAATACTAAAATTAGGACACACTCTTTAGAACTAAAGGAGGTAAATTTTAGGACAACTAAAAATTAATTTATAGCATACATAAGTTGGCTATATGTTGCCTTAAAGTGCTGCTTTTAATCTCAAATGCATGTTGTGTGATTTGGATTATTATCTGTCTTTAGTGCCCCACCCAGATAACTGCTCTTCTTTCTACATCTCTGCAGAGATTCAGGGAGTTCTTGTCATAGTAGATGTAATAAACATTTGTTGAATGACTAACACACATAAAATTAAGTATAAATACATATATTTCATCAAAACTAAAAAGGAGACAATTTATTACATCCTGGTGATGAAGATTAAGTGAATATTAATTTTTAAAATGGCACATTCTGGTTTATTGACATTCATTGGCAAAATGTTCAACAAATGATTTTTATTAAACTGTAAATGTAGGATATAGAGAAATTTAGCATATAATTGGCATTTATAATGGTGTATGACTTTGTAAGGTAGATAGAAAGGGCAATATTTCTAATTTTGGTGAAATTAGGTCTCTGAAATTTGTTTTAAAGTTTGTTAACGTTTCAGTTAAGGCCATTCAGTTGATTCGGGGAGTGAAGCAATGTCGCCACCTACTGAGCAGAGCACGGTAATGACGATGACAAAGGAAAATGAACAAATAAAATAATCCTCTGGTTTTAAGTAAATTATGAAGTAAAAATTAAGCTAATCTGTCCATACAAATTATACCACTCTTGAACTCTATTGCTAGGAAAAAGAGTTACTGAATAGAATCAACCAGTTCTGCTAGGAGTCCTGTGAAGCTAGGCTTTCGAAGCTGTGGGCTTGAACGATAAACTTCCTTATAATATTTCTCTTTAAAACACATATGCACATGTGCCCACACAGAATTTCCTAACTCTGTACATCTTTTTTCTTCTCTAATCCTTTTAACATGACCAGTAAATTTTATGATCACTTCTTTTTATACTATACTTTCCTATTACCTTTTTCATAAGCTAATTTCCAAAATGACTTTTTCTGGATTGTCCATACATAGATTCTCATATTATTTTTGCTAAGAATTCAATCTATCCAATTTTCAAGAATTTAGTTAGAGATAATGTTTCTCAATTACAAGCAAAAGCATTCCCAACGCCAAATTTGTCAGGCTAACTATCCTCAACCAGGCAACTAAAATACCATTGGTCTATACTCAGTCAACACTTGGAATTTCCATTTTTCCTGTGTACTCTTTTCTACTGATTATTTTTATACATTGCCTATTTCCCCATTTGAATATAACTCATTGAGGGCAATGATTTATCATTTTTATGCCCTCCTATCAACCCTTCTCCTACCGCTAGTATTTTGCACATAGTAGGCACCCAATATTTACTAAATAAAATGTGAAAAGTGTAAAGCCCCTGAAAAAATGCTTTTATTCATTGTGCAGGAATGGAGGAGATAACACAAATGTAGAAAAGAAAAAGTTCAAGCATTTATTTATCAGATATTTATTGGATATTTGATTGGGAGCTTCTTTGTTCTTTTCAGCCAACTTCTGGAGAATGGTGGTAGAGATCAGAGGCAAGAGGAATGAATTAGAGAAGTAATGTACACATAATCAATCACCATAGGGTAATTTTTTTTTTTTTTGTCCTTTTTGAGACAGGCTGCACCGTGCTCAGCCAGTGAGCACTGTGAGCGCACCAGTCATCCCTATGTAGGATCCGAAACCGCGGCAGGAGCGCCGCTGCGCTCCCAGCGCTGCACCCTCCCGAGTGCGCCACGGGCTTGGCCCTGTCCTATGTTTTCTTTAAGAAGTTTTATTGTTTCAGGGTGTATATTTAATTCTTTAATC